CCTAAACAGCAGATATTTGGTTGCCAGTGTACATACTTAGCCACGTTGATTTAGGAGATCGCAACTCTGCCTCACTATGCAGTTGCTGAATTTTCCAATCCCACTTCTGCAACTGTACCCTCTGACTTCCCCTGTGCCTCCTCTTCTGCCTTACCCTCCCATGCTCATCCTCCTGCTTTGTGCCGTGCTGCCACTGTGGTGCTGCACCAACTGACGTTGCCACCCTTGAGCAGTGGCTGCAGGGGATTGAAGAAACCTGACCCAGTTGATTTTTTTATCCTAATTGAAATTTTGATATTATATGGCTCCAGTTTATTTATTTTTGGTCATTAGTTGATTGAAAGCTGCTTGATACTTGTAGGGGAAAGTTTGGTTTCTGTTTCATTTATTTATACAAGTTCTAGGCGAAAGATTTGTCCCCCCCCCCTTAGTTGAAATTGGAAGTTTGCACTAGTCCGAAGTTCTATCAGAACCTCCAAGTTTAAAGACTGGAAAAATAAATTGCAGGTTCAAACATCCAGTAGATAGCATGCTTTGAAATTTTGTGACATGCAATTGAATGCTGGGGATGGAACAAAGACAATGTAGAGGGTTGGGGTGTGCATCTGCCAACCAAAGCTGCAGTCATCTACCAAATAGACTCTGCCTATATAGTGAAATCTGTATGGCACATGCATGGCATCTACTCCCTCCGTTCCGAAATATAAGTCTTTTTAGACATTTCAAATGGACTACAACATACGGATGTATGTAGACATATTTTAGAGTGCAGATTAACTCATTTTGCTCCGTATGTAGTCACCTATTGGAATCTCTAGAAAGACTTATATTTTGGAACGGAGGGAGTACTCTCTAGTCTTCGTTTCTAGATTTAGGCTGCAGCCGTAGCATTTTTAGTGATGTAAACGTTGACAAGTTGTACTGTAAATCTGTAATCCCTGACTCAAGTTATGCTCCTTGCAAGTTTGCAACTGACGTATGATCCTTTGGTATTGCAGACGGATGGTGTCTCTGTCGGCTTGCGCGAAGTTCGGCGCTGTCAGCTTTGTGGTTGGCGTCGTGGTTGGCTTCACCCTGAATAAAAGGCTGCGCCGGTGGGCTGCCAAGCTGCTCAAGAGAATTAAGGACGATAACTAGCAAAGCTAGTGCATTTAATCTTGAAAGAAATTTTGTTGGCAAGTGTGCTCTAGTTACATCTGTAGTAACTCCAAGTTGAACCTCATTGACTGCTTGGATCAACTGTGATGGATACAACATAGTCGTTTGTAAACTGTATCACAAAATTCTCTTTTGGGGAGATCTTTATTACTGGTGCAGATTCTGCAGTACATCTCTCGTTGACCGTAAACGTATGGTGCCGTTGTGTTGGAGACTGGCTTTCATTGCTGGTTGCTGAAAATGATGAGCTAATGTTGTTTGGTTAAATAATATCCTGACAATTGAATTAATAATGGAAGTAGCTACTGTTGTTTGTGTATCCAATTCATTCCAACTGAGGGCTTTGCTGTTGCTTGGCTTTCCAGTATATATATGCTGCTGCCGGCTTAGGTAAGGCATCAGGCTGAATCATCAAGAAAGAAAAAGCGAGCCACCTTGAGTGCTTTCGCTTTTCCCTTTTGCTGCAATGGTGGGTGGGAAGGAAAGAATAATTAGTGGGTTCCATGTCCAAGTAAACAAATTAAGATTAAGATAAGCATCATTAGCCTTCTTCACCTCTTTCTCTTCCAGCCAGCACCAAAGCCTGCCTTTATGCGACTAATTCTTGCTTCAGACCAAAGTGATTCCCGGCTGAGTTCGCCTCCTCGAGTGTGCTTTTCACCGATTTCCTGAAGATATTGTTCTCTCTCTTCTTCCTCTTCTCCACACGCAGAGGAAAAGTTTGTCTTGATCCTCTCAAGTTCGTCGTTCCTTCCCCGTTGGTCCACTGGCCACCACTGATTGAAGTGATCCTGTGGACTTACCAGCCCATGTTCAGGTATATATTTTTGATCTCCGTATCCTTAACTTCTTGATCTGTATCGCGGTGGGAGGCACTCCTTCTGTTCACTAATTGATGCATAATCGTGTATTATCTATATAATACTGCAGGTGTAGAAGCAGTATGGTTTTCTTGTGGTGATTGAACGGTAATCTTCTATGAGATCGACTGATCATCATCGCCAACTGCTTCTTCAAGATTTATGATCACTATTGGTTCTTACTATTGACCGTTTTTCCTTGACCGGAGAGTGGTTTGTAAGGTAAAGACTTGCAATCAACTTAACTTTCATTAGTCCAGTCGAATAAACTAGTTATCAAGATTTCTAGGTTAGCATTGGGGCTATTCATCAGATGAATCAGAAAAGCAAAAAAGCTGCTGGATGATTAATCTAGGTGTTGTAACAAATAGAAATATACTTCATCCGGTCCTTTTTACTCCGTATATACCGATTTTTTTACTAATAATAAATAACAATGCTGTAATTCCGGAACTAGTAATGATAAGTTGGAATTTTGAAAAATAGGAAGGACGTCATCAATAGTAGCGTCCAGGCCTGGTCGCTGTTGCAAACCACGTCCGCGCCTGGACGCTATTCTTAGCAGCGTCCAGTGTTTGGTTCAACCTGGCCCAAAAAAGTCCTCGCTTTCGTCTGACCTAAGGGCAATCCTGATGCGGCAACCCAAACTGACGCAGATTTTGTTTGTTCTTTCTTCATTTGGATCGGTCAGGCAGATGTCAATGTCCGTTTTTTTCCGAGGTCCGAAGATGCGAGCAACACAGATGAACGCATTTCACATTTGCACTGGATTTCAGAAATTTTTAAAAAATAAAACAGCCAACAGAAGTCAAATTTACATTAATTAAAACTAAAAAAATTTAAATGAAAAGATTAGAAAAAACAGTCAGCGGCGGGCAGTAGATCTAGGCATGGTTGTTGTCCTCCTCCTCCTTGGTCAGGTCAACGTAGAACGACGTCTCCTTCCACGGGAACGCGTGCTAGATGGCTGGCAGTGTCGCTGCTTGCTGCGCCACCAACTGCTGCTTCTCCTGCCGCTCGGCCTTCATCGCACGCTCCACAGCCTGCCACTCGATCTTCTCGTCTATCGTGCCCATCCACACAGGCGTGCATGATATACAACGACAACATGCTCGTCCACGACCATGATTGCCCAAGCAGTGGTCATGGCTCCTCCACAGGCTCGGGCGTTGGTGGTGCTGGTGGTGATGGGGGCATGTTGGTCACCCCTCCGGCCGCCGATTCAACCAGCGCGTGTGCAAGGCTAGGCCACCTGGCGAGCTCCTTGCACTCTGGCTCCTTGATGGACC